AGCTTATGTTTTAAATTTGAACCAGATTATAGCACCTGCAGTTGCCGGTTTTTGCTCTCCGACCCTATTGTCTGCTTAGGGCCTTTTAAAATCACTTAACAGAAAATACTGGTGAAAAAGTGATGTGTCAGTTTAATTTTAATTCCTTTAATTTATATTAATTAGCTTAATGGATGTCTGGTTAATTTCACACGTCTCAAAGAGACTTTTTTAAATCCAGCTCTTCTTATAAGCTTATGTTTTAAATTTGAACCAGATTATAGCAGGCATGATATAACAAAAAGGATGTCTCCGTTATGAGACCCCGGGACAGACTCAGAACTTGTGGGGGGGATTATATATCCTCCTTAGCCATGGGAACTCCTTGAGATCCCCCAGGAGGAGCTGGATGATGTCCCTGGGGGAGACGGATGCCTGGATTTTCTTCCTGGACCTGTTGCCTCTGTTATCCAASCACAAAGAGGCAGTGSAAGATGGATAGATGGATGATATGGAAGTGAATGTGTTAAATGTTGTCATGATTCTAAAGGTCCCATGCAGTGATGAAATCTGTTCTCTACATTTGACTCATCAATCACCCAAGAGGAGCAGCTATTTCAATCTTAGGGTTTAYCTTAATCCCATGATTTAACAAAATGCTTTCATTTATAAATAAGTCACGTTGTGCATGACCATAATAAGCTGCATCAGTGTTAAATTTAGCACTTCATTGTCAAAGCAGTCTGGAACCAAAATGTCTATAGCCATGAAAAATATGAGAAATTTCAAATTTCAGACATAAACAAGCTACTTTTCATCTTAGCAACTTTAAAACAGACATTCGGTCATTGTAAAACCTGATAAGTTAGAAGTTAGTTGAACTCAAATGATTTCAGGTAACCGATTGTCTTAAATGGTTTTAGTTTATTAACCTAAACAATCCAGTGCAAAAAAAATCTATTTAAGTACATAACTCAAGTGTTTTCATTACAGTAACATGAATGAATTAATTTAAAAGGACCATTTTAGTAAACTGGACTTAAAACTAGTAAGTATTCTACACTCAAATATAGTATTACTTTTAACCTATTTAAAACGTGTTGCTAGTACTCATCTGCAGTATTGAGTCAGACTAACTTAGATGGTAAAATTTATTTAAAGATGATCCAATTTAGCTTATGTTTATGTCAGTTTTTTTTCCTCTAATGAAATTATAACGTTCTAGTTGTCACAACTTCTAGCTACTCAATTCATTTGAGGAAACCGATTGCCTTAAACTGTTTGAGTTACCTCAACATAAAGGAAATGTGTTGAATTTGTGATAGACTGCATTGATGTCAGTGAAAACTGCAGAAAATACTCAATTATCAGTCTAGTTATTAATCACTATAATAAAATGTGCCTAAATGTTTTTTTTATTCCTGTACTTTGCATCCTAGAAGAGTKCTTGCTTAAAAACCATCGTCCACAGTGTTCAAACTAAAAACTCAGTTTTCCAATATGAGCAAAGTGAGTGATTACTCTCCAGAGAAGATTTGTTATGAAAATATTATCATTT